CCTCGTCGGTGCGTTTGATGCCGCTGCCCCTGAGATACTTGCTGCGTGCTAAAGACGAGTAGACTACCTGATCAAATCTGCCAATGGGTCCTCCAAAATTGATGTACTCTATCTCTGGGACATTCTCCAGACTCTTTTGATTCCTGCTTGGCCCAAGGATCGCACAACTATTGGCGGAACGCCCATCGGCGATGCCTGGCCGTTGAGTACTTTACGCAAGGGAGCAGAGGCCGGCAGTTCCGACTCCCCTGCGGCCGGCATCCAACCCTTCCACAAACTGACACAGTGGCTCACCTACTCCCTCATGGTTCCATTCCAACGGGTCCTCGGTCTGGAGTGGGTCAATGCTGACTCTCTCACGGCCTTGCCAGAGTACCGCAACGGCGGCCTGTTCGTCGATATGGGCGTTCTGGCCCTGAAGAAGGAGACACTGGAGCGAGGCCTGAACGCATCAGGCAGCGAGCTGCCAATGTTCGAGGCTGGCGACGATGTCATCGTGGAATGGAGGGCCATGACGTTGGTGCTGATCGATAGCCTCTATGGCAAGATTCAATCTCGCATGGGAGAGGGTGTCGAGCTGAGCATGGCACAGCTGCTCGAGGCAGGGACATGGAAATCTGGGCGGGAGACGGCAGCAAAGTTCCGGCCGCAGACTAAGTCCAGCCCAATTCTCATCAAGAGCGATGGCACTGTCTTTTAAGGCTGCATGGGACAATGGTGCATCAAGGAAGGGCGGTCTGCTAAAAAGGAAAAAAGAGAGGGAGCTGCCTCCAAGCTTGCTTAGCTTGGTAGAGAGACTAGTCGAAACCGCATACCCGTGATTCCAATTGCCGGAACATGCTTTCTTCTTCAATTCTAGTAGAAGGGGGTTGATTGGTCCTCGACCTGGACAAAGGAGGGGAAACTGGAAACCTGTGGCTTGTTTAGATTTGAAGATCGTCACCGTGGCGCGCACCGTCTCCAATAACCGTCGCGCTCCAATTCCCCAGACGGCTCAGCTTGGCTTCGTAGTCACGGTAGGCCAGCAACCAGAATAATATGATGCTACTGGATGCTTCCGATTATCCTTTGGGCATGCACCTTTTCCGTGATGCATCTTCTCTTCTCTCGTACATGAGATCCAATTTTGTCCCAGCATGAAGCTACCTGTTCTCGACCTTGTCTACTCATTACGCGCGACAAATGCGGGGGACTTTGGATACCAATCAACCTATGATGTTCCTTGTATCAGAGACGGCATCTTGGGAATCGGCTGTGGACTCGACAATGTGCACTGTCCATGTGACACAGACAAGCAGGAGGCCATGGCATTGGTTCTGATATCATGTCTGGCTGCACGTACACCAGTAAACATTTCGAGTAAGTCTTACAACCAATTGGCCTTTTCCTACACCATCTGACAACCTGATCTCGACAGGAGCTCGAGATGCTGTATCGTCAGCCTGTGGTCATGTAGCCAAGAGACGAGGTCCTACCACAGGGCCCTTGTCTACCTCCAGCGTACCAAGAACCATTGAAGTTGCCATCGAGCAGCATGTATCGGCAAGAAACGCCTCTGTGGGGCAACATGATCAACTTGGTGACACAGTATCAACAAAGAGCGGGATGTCGACTGGAGCCATAACAGGTATTGCCGTTGCAGTGGTTGCGGCCGTCCTCCTGGTACTAGCCTTGGTTTACTTGGGACGCAAAAAGAGGAGGACCATTTTTGAAGAGGCTGGGTTCGGCGGCGGGATTGCAACTGAGTTATCCGGGAAACGCAGTCCTGCGCATGGGACAGGGACAGAAAGAACCATATCTCGAGAGGCACCATCGGCAGCTTACTAGCTCAAGAAGTCTTGTAATCGGGTAGCTCGAAGGGACTTTCTGGACTGAGGGCTGTCTTGGTATCTCGATGAGCAGGCTCCTCCATTGGTCTTAATATTGACATGGGCGACTAGCAAAGGAATGAGGGCCAAAACGACGCTAGGATCTTAAAACAGGCCTGAGGACAAGGCAGATAATCAAGTAATGTTCAATGAGCAGCTACACTGCTAATCAGTATTGTGCTTTGCAGCCTTGATGTATGAATTTGAAGCGATACCAGTCAACCAAAACATAGGCCGACAGCCTGGCAAAAAAGCCTGGTTGTTGGTTTCATTAACAAGACATAGCTCTGGTAGTGATCAGAAACTCTGAGGAGATACCAGGACGTACAACCTACAAGCTGCAAGTCATCAAAACATGCGGTAGATTCAAAGTCTTGGACAGGACAAGTGTCAGAGCACAGTTCCAAAAATGATGCTATGACCGTGGCAGGGCTCGAACCTGCGACCTTCTCGGGATCAAGTGCACGTAATTGTGAACGAGAAATCATCATCCACTAGAACACACAGCCGGATGGCGATGGTGGATATGCGGCCGTTCTGGGTCTAAGGTGATGCAGGTCTCCGAAGTGGATAACTGCTCGTGATCTGTCTTGGTTTTACGACCAAATGAGAGGCTTCACATCGTCTCCCTGACCAAGAACGTGTGGAAAAGATTGAAAATGCGTACCATCGGGAGCCAGAACTCGTGATGCTTGCTGGCGCGAGACGTCAGCGTGCCATCAAGTGTCACATGATTACACTGCGACCGTATCAGAATGTCGACTCTGTAGCTTCGAGCAGTCGTTCATGCTGGCCGATTAATCCCAAGTGTGTGCGGTGAGAACTTTTGAAATGTCAAGTTCTTGTACCCTAGGTAGCGGGTGTTAGAAAGTACTTTTAACGGCTTGGCCAAGTACCTAGGTCTATGATTATCCAATTGATGGAACCGCCCTAGAGATATATCAATTAGTTCCTTAGAAGAAACTTTCACAGTATACTCCGGAAAGACCAATAGTAATATTGAGTTGAAGGAATTTAGAAAAAGAGAATTGCAGGCTGAAATCGAACTTGGACGCTTCAAAGACAGGTACCACCCGGGGGTAAGGTACTGGTGTTGAGGTCGGAAGTGAGCGAACTATGCGAAAGAGGTCTCCTTATGCGCTGGTGAAAGAACAATGAAATAAGAAACCTATAGGAAAAAGCTGTGATACTATTCTTGGCGACATTTCTAGCGATCATGACGCTTCATGTAAGCTACCAGTGTGTAAAGTGCTAAAGTCGGGGATTCCTCTCGTTGGCAAAATCCGCCTATATGGCTCTCTTACATAAGTGGAACTTGTAGTTTGCAATGCAACAATTTGTCATTAGTGATATACCAAAGGGTTCTGATAGAACCAAGCATAAGACGTTGGCACCTTGTAAAAGCATCTAAGCTAATGTGCCATGAGTCAGGGAACAGCACCAGAGAATACTGACTAGATTTTGTCCACATAATTGACCGACACGACGAATGACTGCACAACATCATTTCTCTACAATATATAACAATGTAATCCTCGTCAATTGTGTTAATTTAACTTCCAGTCCCGTCGACCGCCAAGTACGCACGGAGCCGGATGAAGCCAGTTTATGCTCATCATTCCCACCTTTAATCGAATTCGTTTGCGACTTCTAATTAGAGAGGGGTCAGAGGGCACGCAGCTGCGATGCAAAGATCAGACATGTCCATATTTACCCTGTAGTCTTGACCCTCATAAATCAGACCGATCGTTGATTCGGTCTTCGGCTTCCTCTCAAAGAGACCATGTACGACACGGGCCCGCAGCAACGCCTTAAGTCCGCTCCCCGTACGTTTCCACTTGCGAGCTTCTTTTCGTATTTGAGTGATTTTGATTAACGAGAGAAGTTGTTCATTCATGTGCAATAAGTTTGGGACTAGGATACTGTATCGTGTACTTTTATATATGTTGGTGTGGAGTAGCGAACCTTCAAACTGCTAGCCAATCTTTTTGTTTTCTTCAACTCACACTACGCTACACTCATTAACCTTTCACCATGTTTCCATTCTTGCTTTCTTCTTTGGCTGTTCTTACGACCGTCATTGCGACGGCTCACGCCGCTCCGACGCCGGCATCGTGCCGCGCGACATCGAGTACCCTGTACGGCATGGGCATGTGCTTTGAACCTTCTGTGGGGTGCAACTCAGGCCAAAGGTTTGGAGAGTACATTGCCAGGAATATCCGACATGAGAAGGGCATCTGCACAACAACAGTGGAGGTAGCTTGGCTTTTGTAGACTTGGTTCGGATCGATTGCTGATTTCTGGTCTAGTTCACTTGTTGTACGAAGTGAGGTGTTCATTAGGAGGACGAGAGTATTGCTTGATGCAAGTGCACTCTTCAGGGAACTTATTTTGATCATTCAAGCTGTACCAAATACATACTCTCACTTGGGAGTTCCTTGAGGATGATCTATCTGAATCTCATCCATTCTTCTGCTTCGAAATCTTCCACATCTGTCCGGCACCTCTGCTTCTGTCGGCAGTCACGGCTAACAATGAGAAACCTTAGTTTACGTGGCGCAATGCCATATGTACATAGTGTCGTCCGTTACAACATCTCGCTTGCCATTGTACCCAAGTCATGATCAAGGAGGCAACCCGTGGATTAACAGAGTTTCTGGTGAAGCATTTGGAAAAGGGTTGCCAATAATACGTGGGTAAAACGCCACAAAACGCATATATCCATTTCCATGTCCAATGACTATGGTCGTCGTCTTATCGCAGTGCAGTGTGATTCGTTGCTCATTGGCTCTGCAGCCTCTGAACCCTGGTTGGTGGTGGCGATGCCCTGCTTCAGCTTCTAGCTCTATGCACCGCCGGTAAGGCGCACCCGGCGCGTGCCGTCAGCGTGGGGTTCAGCTCCCACGGTCTCGCTCTCGAAGATTCCCCTAAGAGTATGTTAGACGACGACAAAGTCCCTGGCTGTCTTGAGAACATCTTTGCTAGAACAACTCCAGACTCAGCGAGACAACCCCAAGCAAAGCCCGCGATCATGCATCACAGTCATACCCAGCCGCCTGCATGATCCCCTCCATCGCAACCTACCTACTCCTCCTCTCACCTCTCACCGCAGCAGCGACCCCTCCCTCGTCCATGACGAACTGGGTTCCCGAACCAAACGGCCGCGGCACCTTTGGCCTGATCTGCTCTTGCGTCCTCACCCTCACGATATGCGTCTGGACGGCCCTCCACCTCAACGTCCCTGCTGCCCGCTCCACCCTCCGGAGCCGGTCGTTGGAACGGACAAAGTGGGTCCTCTACGGCATCTTCGCGCCGGAGCTTGTGGTCGCCACGGCGGCGGCGCAGTATATCGTAGCACGATGGCTCAAGAGGGAGATTGAGAAGGATGCTGCGGATCGGAAAGGTGGTGCAGGTGCAGATGGCATGTCTTGCGATAGGGAGGAGACGAGGTCGTTTTCGAGGCATACGTGGGACATGACGCAGTGTTTCTACGCCGTGATGGGAGGGTTTGTCATCAATGTGCCGTCTGCCGAGGACGAAACGGCGCTGAGGAGAGTTACTGTTACGCCGGAGGGCATCAGGCTCTTGTCCTTCATCGGCAAGCTGCCGCAGATTCACGAGTCGCAGATCCAGGACAAGAGCAAGGCGGATTGGATGGCCAAGTCGCTGGTGTGCATACAGGCCTGGTGGATGGTCGCCCAAGTCATCGGCCGCCTCATCAAGAAACTGCCCGTTTCGCTGCTCGAGATCAACACCTGCGGGCACGTCGCTTGCGCTGCGCTGCTTTATCTGCTCTGGTGGAGTAAGCCCCTGGATGTGCTCGATCCCACTATCCTGGACGAGGGGAACGAGAAAGCCATGGCGTTGATGATGTTTTGCTCGTCGATGAGCGCAGTTAATGGCGTCACTGAGATCCGGTGCTTCATGTACATACCGCCCGAAGACGTGGGCGCGGAAGGGGCCAGAAAGGAAAACAGGGACAAGATCCTCATCACGACTCATTTATCCATTGGATCACCTGGCACCAGGGAGCCCTCCAGGTTTCTCGGCTTCGACGTAAGTGACCTCCGTCCCTACTCGTCACCTGTGGACGTCGACATTCAGCGGAAAAGAGTATCTCGAAGCGCCTATATGTACCACATCGACCAGGCGAAACCTACGGTTTCCCCGGAATGCCAGCAGACATACTTCGCTTCGCCTTACACCGAGCTCAGTCTCCGGCACGGTACGATCTATTGTCGAAGACTTTTTGCAGATGTCCAAGGACATGAGAAACCTCACTTGCCCGTCAACCTAGGACGTTTGGCACAAGCTGCGTCAACCGCAGATTCTCTCTGGGCAGAATGCATTTCCCGGCCGACGTATGCTCAATTCTACTTCACCTCCGTGCCGACGGTTGGCGTGTTCCTCGGCGAGACGGATTACCTCATACCTCACATAGTCAACTTCCCGTCCATGTCGAACCTTGGGCTGGGCCAAGTCAATATCCACCGTGACGTCCTGCGGTCGGTCCTCGCTCTGACGGCAGCGGCGTATGGCGGCCTCCACCTCGCGGGCTGGCTCGACCACTTTCCGACGACGATTGAGCGGACTCTCTGGCTGGCTGCGTCTTTGGTAATCACGTCCTCGGGCGTGGTGCTATGGGTCTTCTTCCTCGCTCGGCAGGTTTGGCCGCGGTTTGACGTGTTCGTTTCTGGTGCAGCACCAGGGGCGCAACTAGCGGGGACGACGTACCAGAAACCGTGGATGAAGAGAGCAAAAACCTTTGTTCTTTGTTTTGTTCTGCTGCTGTTTGTTGTCGCGAGAGTGTTCTTGGTCATTGAGGCGTTTATCAATCTGCGAGAGGCTCCTGCGTTGTTGTATGAGACACCGGAGTGGTCTGATTTCTTTCCGCATTTCTAGTGGTCGAGATGGTGAATAGTAGAAAGCTGCACGTTGTGATTCTGCCAACGCTCCCCAGTTCTGGACCAAGTTGCATGACTTATATGGTTTGAAGAAAGAGTAGATATTGTATTGTGGTAGGAAAACGGCGTATAGGCCAGTGTTAATGACCACGTCGCGTTGATAAAACGCTTACGTGCAAGCGTTGGGTATCTTCTGATATCAAGGTAGATCTTTGGTCGACATAGGAAAGGCGCTACTAGTGTGAACCAAAAGTGAAAGCAAAGAGGATACCTGCGCATCAAGTCTTGAATTTCCATCCCTCAATAAGTCGTGCAAGTTTCAAGTGACCTTTCTGTCTGGCGAGGCCTGCAGCAGTACCTTGACGATACTTCGCTTTCGTTTGATAGTCTTGAAGAGACTCGAAGACGGCGCTGGCATGGACTAACCTCGCGCCATGTTGTAACAATAGCTTCACTGTCGCGTACTGACCCTTGACAGCCGCATAATGCAGCGGTGTTGCGCCGTGATGATCGCGTTCACGAACATCTAGTCCAAGGTCCATCAGAAGCTTTATCATTGCGGGATACGCTGTGCCGAAGAACATCAGGTTCGCCCCTGACATTGACCGAGCTCTGAGATACGCTCCGGCGGCGAGGAGAAGTCGCACAGTGTCGAGGTGTCCTGCCCTCACGGCAGCGAAGAGTGGAGTGAACCCTGGCCAGGTCCTAGTGTCGAGGTCGACGCCCGTACTGATCATCGTCGCAAGAACGTCGTTCTGTCCGTAGTGGGCTGCAAGATGTAGCGGCGTCATGCTGGAATTTCGCAACAACGGGGTCGTGAGGTCTGCACCACCACGGATGAGGGCCATCGCAATTCGCGTATTGCCGGCTTTGAGAGCTTGGCATATGATTCTCTCTGCGCCAGGAGCGGAGTGGTCTACCTCGGCACCGACCTCGATCAAATATTGAGCAGCCTCGAAGCATCCCAAGTGCATCGCGATCGTGAGAGGTGTTTCTCCATGTTCTGTCGTTGGGTCAATCTGTGATCCGGCTTTAAAAAGAAGTTGCAGCACCTCGACTCGGTTCTTATGGGCTGCCATGTGAATGGGTAGGTACCCCTCGCTACCGGTAGCATCAAAATTGGCACCCCGAGAGAGGAGAAGCTTCATGGTGAGTAAGTCCCCGGCTGAAGCAGCTGCGAGCAACGGAAAGTTGCCCTTTGAGCTCGGCAAGTTGACGTCAGCCCCGGCTCCGATCAGCACCTCAGCGATATCTGGACAAGCTGTAGATATTGCGTACGTCAAGGCGGTGTGTTCATTGACACGTCGATCGAGGTAGGCGCCCTGATCCGATAAGAATTCCGTCATCGGACTGCTTCTCATAGATATGGCGACATGGAGCGCTGTTCTGCCATTTTGTAGTCGGGCTTCCAAGTCCGCACCATATTCGAGCAGCTTTTCGATAGCATTGAAGCGGTAATTTTGAACAGCTGCTATAAGAGGCGTTCTTGTTCCCAAATCTCTGCGGTCAACTTCACCCCCAGCACGGATGAGTACCTCCAAGGTATCATCTTTGGCCGACATGGCGGCGTAGTGTACTGCGGAGCACCCCAGTGTATCGACGGCATTGACATCTGCACCGAGTTCGCACAATAGCGAGACAACCTTGTCGGAGTATCCGTACTTGATTGCCGTGATCAGGATTGTGTCGCCCTCGTCTCCTCGACTCTCGAGATCTGCTCCGGCGATAGCTATGAAAGTGACTAGAGATGGAATTTGACGATTCAGAGCTCGACGAAGAGGGCAAAGTTTCGAGCCAAAGCGAGGCGCGTTCGGATCAATGCGCTGTAACAAGAGCTTTACCACGGCGGCTTCGTCTCCACGATCGATTCCGTCGTGTAAGTCTTTCGTTGTTCGCATGCTCTGCTTATATAGTATGCCCGGCGGTGGTCTGAGTCTCTTTAGCGCCGAACGGACTTCGAAGGAATCATTGACGGGAGTAATTTCTGCCTCTGGCCTTGGTCGTGGACCGATGGTAGATAGACGCAGTCGACTGCCTTTATTAAGTACTGCCGGGCTGATCGCACAATCCCACGACACTAGGCGGGATGAGTGCATGAAGGTAGAGTGGTTTTTGGATGTCACATGTTCGCTGTTTTGGTGAGCAACGTCCGCGCAACTGGTCCGAGTTTGACATACCTTGGAACACAATTAAGGAGAAATGTAAGAGATTGACGGTTGGTCTTCAGCTGGCGTTGAATCTGCCTGAGGGAGTCTTCGTTCCAAATGATGGTAATTTGTCCCGAGGACATGTCGACGGCACTATCGCTCGTCGCCGGGCGAATCCGTGTACTGTAGAAGTCGAGAGACAACAAGTCTGTGTTAATCGAGTCCAAGGCATCCTGGCAGGATTGGTCGAGAAGGACTGGGTCAAAAACGAGGGTTTCCGGTATCGTTTCGCGCAAGTACTTGAATCGTCGCAGAGCATCTGTCACGGCGCGACACTCCTTGGCGAGATCAGACAGCGTCACTGGTGCCGTATTGAGGCTATTGGCCACGGTACTGTATCGATCGGTAAGAAGCTGTGATGTGCGTATCAGGTCGGCCAGGCTGGTGCCGGACTGGCGTCCCGGGGAGTCCATGACCGGTCACCTTAGCAGGTGGACATTTCTATGCGGATTTCCATCAAGATCGGAGAACAGACCCGTCACCTTTCGAGGTCGGGAGGAAACGCCCTCTTTTAGGTTGGATCAGAAGAGGGATGATGGGGAAAGATGTCGCGGGGCCAGGGAACCGAATCTGGCAACGGCCCATTCTACGACGAACCAGTACCAAACGGTTCGCACCCGATACGGTATTTGGGGCGATGCTAGCCAGGGGAGACTATTGAGTGCAATTTGGCGAGATGAAAAACAGGCGAGCCCAGAAATCCGGGAGCTTGTCAGGGCCTGGTGGTCACGCTAGGACAGCGAACCCTCGGAAAGATTGTTCGGAAATCGCATCTTTGAGGGCGGATAGAACGTAGGTTGGTTGGAACCACGAAAAAAACGAAAGTCGAAACACGCCAGGCTCGTTGCTTGAGGCGGTTATATTGAGATCAACCGGGAGATGATGGTCGGCTCGCCATGGAGGTGGAAACAGCACTTGATTCCTACAGCTCCATATCGGTAGGGTTGCAGAGGACAAACCTTGACATACGCTAGACGTGGGTAGGGATAACTGCATCGTCGTCCGTGTGTCTCCCAGGGGTCTGGATGGCATCCGTGGGTTTGATTCAACTTGAAGCCAGAAGATGCGCTTGACACTTGTCAGAAACAACCGTGGCGAATCCAAGACCGATTTCGCGGGGATGAAGATTGCTATTTATTGCGTGGCTTCTCGAACTATCGAAATCTGACAGGGCGCTAAAAAGCAATGTCTGCGTGGCTTTGAGGCAGAATGTCTTGACTGTCGGTATTGGGTCTGAGCGGGCACACGTGGGTGGGAGGTCGAGAAGTGGGAGTCTGGGAGAGACAGAGAGACAAACCAACGACGAAGAAAGGTGATCCCTGAACTCCCACGCCGAAAGCTTGGACCATGTTCAGCTGTGGATCCGTTTTAGCGAAGCAGAGGCCATCCGTTCCGCGCCGAGGATCTTCCGCCATCGCCCCACCAAAACCGGCCTGAACGATTCGATGATTCGAGGGTGGACCATCAAACGAACAGATAATTGGTTCATCAGTTGACGACACCCAGTCGGAGCTCTTCCAATATTCCCGTCCTTAGCGATACGTACCGTTGGGTATCCCCGAGCTCTCGAGCTTACCTACGGCTCTCCGTCGACGTAATCGAATTTGTGGTGCCCGGCTACCACATCAATACCTCTGTCTTTGGCCTTGTGATCCTGATACGTGCTGGAAAAGAGCACTCGAAATTCGCTATCCACCGAACGAAACATCTTTGTCACACCAATATCCACGCTGGCGAACATACTTTGGAAGAAAGAGTCGTCATCCGCGGCGACCGGCGCAGCCCCCTCCAACCCTTCGACTGGCGACATCATGACACAACCGCCCGCCCAACCGTATCTTACACCACAATTCTGCTTCTCGACAGGAGCCCTGAGGGGTTAGTTGGACCCTGCCCATGAAACCATAGATGGTTGACACTAACGTGCTTCTCAAGACTTTCTAAGGCTGTCTCGTGCCACGGTAGACGACTCCATTACTCAAAACCTCAATGCCCTCGTAACACCCGCACGAGCCGGCTTCGATCCGACCTCGACCTCACAACGAACGCCACGCTCCTTCCCTCGACAAATTGACTCGCAACTATGTCAGAGCTTCAAGGACCAGGTGCTCTTCCCGACATGGCATGCGCGAGCTGAAGTCTTGCACTACTGCGGAGTGGTTGCGACAAGCCCAGACCCCGACGACCCGGAGGCTTTGGTCCAGCAAATCGAGGCCGCCAAAGACAAGGAACGAGTTGTCGACGAACGTTTGGATCCATACTCTGGACGGTTCTTCCCTCGGGAGCCTCGGACGGAGCAGCTCGCGATGCTCATCCGGCAGGAGAAGGGCGTGGAGAACATCGTGCGGACGAGGACGTGGGATATGGTCAAGCAGCGATGCGGGGAGTCGGCGAACTCGTGGGAGGAGGCTCTCGCGGGTTGGCGATCAAGAGGTGCTGGGAAAGTCGACGGCTAGTAGGCCCTAGACTGCATCGTTCTCAGCGGCTGTACCACTATTGTATAAATGTACACCATGTACCTGTACCAACCTTGTAAGACAACGCCATATGCATAATGATAGAAATATACAAAATAAACACCAAACTAATATCACCCCGTTGAAAGTTCGACTGAGAAAGAAAATAATGTGTGGGGGCAGAAACCGTGGGGAGTGTGAACTCTTGCGCTCCAAGGTCCTAGGGATCACACGAAATTTGGGGGTCTCAAGGCATCTCATCACGTCACAGCGTGTAAAGCACAATGGAAGTGTCATGTTCTATCTATCCACTATCATTCATTTTGCTGGAGGGCATCCTTCGATCAGTTGTTGGTAAGGATGGTCAGCAAAGGAATTCACCGTAGATTTCCTCGGCTCTCAGAAATGCTATCAGGTTCTTGATCTCCCCGAACTATCCAATCCGTTATGGATCATGGTATATATCTCAGCATTGAAGTGGGACACGGAGCTGTTCACCTTTCGTCGATGACTTGGCAAACCGTCCCCTACCAAAACGGTGGATTGGCCATTCCTGAGCGGGACGTGCGCAGAATATGCTGCCCCTGGTGGTGCGATTTTGATGCGGTGAAAAACGGACCTGATGGGGCCGGACTCATTTTGCCCCGCCAAAAGCCCGCCGTCCCGCCAAACGGTAAGGTCCAGTAACCTTTAGTACGGAGACCGTGGTGGCGGTCGCTGCAGGGCGAAGACGGCGCACTGAGCCCCAAGGAGGGCAGCCAGCTCAGCCTTGGAACATGTGTGTGGCTAGAGTCTTCCATCCAGAATCCCACCCGTTTACGTCGAAACCTTTGTGAATACTTGCAGCTCCGTCCGTGGACTCGCACACGACCAACCTTTGACTTTCCACCCCACGCTTCCGAAAAGATACGAGTCCTCGGTCCCCGACACAACCGACCTCTACTCTTTGTATCTTATCCGTCCTCTACTTTTCTTCCTAGCCAACAGCTCGGTTCCGTCACACGACTGCAGCTAGCTACCCCTCCTCAACCTCCGAGGACCCCTCCAGACAGACTGCTGCGGACCAGCCTTCCGAAGAGTCTGCATCTCCAGCGACTTTTGGGATAGTCTCAGCCTTGCGAAAATCTCTTCCCTCTCGACGACTCGGTCTTGTTTCTTTTTCAGTGCCGGCGATACGATCCCCGGCCCAACACCGATCCGATGCCGCAACCTCTCAATTCGAAAGAGGCTTCCCTCTTTCGCGCCGTCATCCGCGCCTATGAGGACAAGCAGTACAAGCGCGGTCTCAAGTCCGCCGACCTCATCCTCAAGAAGAACCCCAAACATGGCGACACAATGGCCATGAAGGCCTTGATCATGAATGCGCAGGGTAAGACAGAGGAGGCTTTTGCTCTGGGCAAGGAGGCTTTGACGGTGGACATGAAGTCGCACATCTGCTGGCACGTCTACGGACTTCTGTACCGCGCCAACAAGAACTTCGAGGAGGCTATCAAGGCGTACAAATTCGCTCTAAAGCTCGAGCCCGAGTCAACGCAGATCCAGCGCGATCTTGCCATTCTTCAGGTGCAGATGCGCGATTATGCCGGATACATCTCAAGCCGCACTGCCATGCTGCAGGCCCGTCCCCAGCTGCGCCAGAGCTGGACTGCGCTGGCTATCGCTCACCACTTGTCAGGTGACCTGTCCGCTGCCGAGAACGTCCTCACCACCTACGAGGGCACGCTCAAGTCCACGCCCTCCCGAAGCGACTACGAAAACTCCGAAGCCGTCATGTACAAGAACACCATCATTGCTGAGCAGGGCGACTACCAGAGAGCTCTCGAGCATCTCGAGAGTGCTGCCAAGCATAACCTGGACAGGCTCGAGTATTTGGAGCTGCGCGCCAAGTACTTGGTCAAGCTGGGCAAGAAGGAGGAGGCGATTGCCGCATGGCAGGCTCTCGTTGAGCGCAACGCTGACCGCCCTGCTTACTTTGAGGGCCTGGAGAGCGCTCACGCCTTTTCCGACAGTGATGCGGCTGCCAGAAAGGAGATTTACGAGAAATACGCCAAGAAATTCCCCCGTTCGGATGCTCCTCGCCGCCTACCCCTGAACTTCTTGTCTGGTAAGTGGTAGTTCACGTCTTTGTACTCACAGGTGCTAACACGAGCAGGTGACGACTTTAGTGCTGCAGCAAAGGAATACTTGACACTCATGTTTAACAAGGGTGTTCCGTCGACTTTTGCCAACCTGAAGCACTTGTACTCCGACTCCACTAAGAAGGAAGCTCTCGAAGCTCTCGCTCAGGACTACCTCAAGTCGAGCTCGAACTCGGAGGCAACCAACGGCGATCGCTCAAAGGGAGAGGCTGCGGCTCTTTACTTCCTTGCCCAACACTACAACTACCACCTCAGCCGTGATCTTACCAAGGCTCACGAATACGTCGACAAGGCTATCGAGAAGGTCCCCGATAGCGTCGACTTCACTATGACCAAGGCCAGGATATGGAAGCACCAGGGCAACCTGCAAAAGGCATCCGAGACCATGGACAAGGCACGCACCTTGGATACCCGCGATCGTTACATCAACACCAAGGCCGCCAAGTATCAGCTGCGTAACAACGAGACGGAGCAGGCGTTGAAGACTGTGGGCCTCTTTACTAGGGCGGACACTGTCGGTGGCCCTCTTGCGGATCTTCTGGACATGCAATGCGTCTGGTTCCTTACTGAGGATGGTGAGGCCTATGCCCGCCAGGGTGATGATGCCTTGGCCCTCAAGCGCCTCCACACGGTTCACAACATTTTCGACGTCTGGCAAGAAGACCAGTTCGATTTCCACAGCTTTTCCCTGAGAAAGGGCCAGATTCGTGCCTACGTAGATATGGTCCGTTGGGAGGATCACCTTCGGGACCACCCCTTCTACTCAAGAGCCGCTTTGGACGCCGTTGCGATTTACCTCAGGAGAGCCGACCGCCCCGCGGCGAACGGCGTCAACGGAGACGCAAACGGCGACGATGCCTCTGAGAGAAAGAAGGCTGCGAAGAAGGCCAAGAAGGAGCAACAGCGCCTGGAGAGAGAGGCGGCTGATCGCGCGGCGAAGCAAGATCCTAACAAGGGCAAGCCCGCCAGCGAAGAGCCCAAGAAGAAGGACGAAGACCCTCTCGGCCTGAAGCTTTTGGAGGCCGAGCCCCTCAGCGCGGCGATGCGATTCGTCACTCCTCTTCTGCAATTCAGCCCGCAAAACATCAACGCCCAATTCGCCGGTTTCGATGTCTATCTGCGCCGAAGTAAGTCTTACCATGGTACCTTACCTTTTACCTCTTGAACAGTACTGACACGTTTACAGAGAAGTACGTTCTTGCGCTGCGTTCTCTCAACGCCGCCCGCAAACTCGATGCGTCGCACCCTGGTGTCCACGAGCGTGCTGTTGAATTTGCTCACGTTGTGCGCCCGGCACTCGAGAGCTTGCCCGCCAAGGTGCAAGAACTTATCAAGTCCGAGTTCACTCCTCCTGCCGGTGACTTGAAGAAGTACAACGAGGAGTTCCTCTCGAACAACAAGTCCAAGCCCACTCACATCGTTGCCGCCCTTAAGACACGAAGAGTGCTTGGAGAGGACAGCGCCAAGGCCGAGACTGACCTTGCAAATGTCGTCAAGGCTCCCGATGCCACTTTTGAGCTTGCCACCGAGGTGTATAACCTCTTGAAGGCGTGGAGGAGCAGTGAGGCGGAGACGCTCAAGAAAGAGGCGCACGCGAGGTGGCCTGAAGTAAGCCTCTTCGCCTAGGAGCGCAAGCCCCCACCTTTGTCGCCATTTCGGAGGATATGGAACCAGCTCAGGCGAAAATGAAGGCAGGGTTGCCGGTTTCAGTGTTGCGATTTGTGCAGTCAGATACCCGAACAGTGGGAAGCGTTTCCAAACGGTCATGGGTGGAATTGTTTCCTCGGTGAGCGGGAAGCCAAAGCTGGGTAAAGGTCCGGGCTATGGACGCGTGCTTCGTTGCGGCATGTGTCGAAATCAAGGACATAGTTGCATCATCAAAAGTTGTGATAGAAGAGAGAAGGCTACAAAAAAGCGTACGAGACTCTAGATTTCGTCTGAGCAGCAGCAACTTTTTACTTTGTGATGCACTCGTTTTGAGGCCGTGATGTTCCATTTCCTTGCTTTCCTTTTTCTCTTGGCTGACCCCTGTAATCACACTTTTTTGTCCTCATAGTCTGGCACCCTCTATCTACACAACCTCTACTGACTGAAGCTGTTCGTGACGTCGACGAACGCCTTCCACTGCTTCCAGGCCTCGCCGCTCTTGACAGCCCAGCGCGCCCTCCGCACACCCTCCTTCCAGCGACCTCCGCCAGGTCCCCTTTCGGTAATCACCTGGCCGTTGTCGCCGGGACCCATGTTGCTCGTCTCGGCCTCGCAGATACCCGACGTTACAAACAGCGTCGCGGCGTTCATCAGCACAAACTCGAGAATGGGGTCGTTGTCGGCCATCTCGCCCGCCAGTATCCTCCTCAGAATCTCGGCATTCTCAGCCGGCTCTTTACCAGGGGATACGGTGTTGAGGGGGTGTGTTCCCAAGCCGAAATCGCTCGGCTGCACCTTGAAGTGATCCGCCACGACCTCTCCGCCCGCCGCCTCGCTGAGCCTCCAGACCAGCGTAGGACCCGCGCAGCTGACCTCGTCCAGCTCCTCCTCACCGCAGATGATCATGGCCTTTTTCGAACCGCTGATCTTGAGGGCCTCGAGGAAGACGGGGCCGAGCTCCTTTCTCGCTACGCCGATGACGCGGGCCTCGAGGATATCCTCGACGGGGTTCGCCAGGGGGCCGAGGAGGTTGAAGATTGTCCTCCAGGGGAGTTCCTTGCGAATGGGCGCGACGTAGCGCATTCCTGGGTGGAAGACGGGGGCGAAGAGGAAGCCGTAGTTTGTGGCGGCGTAGACTTGTGAGATTGTCTCTGGGGAGACGGCCATGAGGACGGGCGGGCGGGGCTGCATGTTATTGACGAGGTCCGCGGAGCCGGACTTGGAGGTGCTGGCGCGGTTGCCGTGCTTGGCCACCAACAGGAGGGAGGAGGCGAGGATGGAGGCGGTGGTGCTGATGTTGAATGTGTTGTGGGCGTCGCCTCCCGTGCCGACGATGTCGCACAGTCCGCCGGCGTAGGTTCCCGCGCCGAGCGCCTTTTGCTGGACCACGCGAGAGAGATCGTCAAAGTCTACCTTGGCGGCGGCACGGCGCATGTAGTGCGCGGAGCGGGCCATAACGTCGGCGCGGCGGTCGAGGTTGGTGAAGTGCAGGGCGATGAGGAGGGAGGCGGCCTGGGTGTCGGAGACCTGGTGGGTGAAGAAGTGAGAGATGGCCTCGGCGATCTCGTCGGCACTCACGGCGAGGCCGGCGTCCGGGACGGGCCAGAGTTTCTTGAGCAGCGGTTTGATGTCGATGAGCGGTAGGGCGGCGTCGGACCCCGCGACCGGAGGTTGTGAAGCCATGGCGGGGTTGATTTTGTGTGCTGTTGTTTCTGGTTTTTTTGAAGTACGGCGAGTTTGGATGATGAAGGTTGCTATGCTTAAGTCAGATGAGATCAATTGAACGACGTAAGGGGGGTTTTTACTTATGAGTTGAGTCACTGAGAGCGCAATGAGATGTGAGTCAAGAGGCCGTTGAATAATGAGAGGTTGTTCATTGTGAGAGAACCCAAAGTCAATGTGAGCAATCCGCTATCTGGAGCGGTACCGAGGTACGTACTTTCGTACCTTCCTGCTAAAGGAGCGAAAGAGGTTGCGGCCCACAGCTGATTGGTCAATTATTGCCTGATTTAGACGACACGGGGGAAGCTCATTGGGTGTGCTTTCTGCTGTCTACAGTGCTGTCGCCAATAAGGGAATCTCCGCTCCTGCTGCGTTGGAGGGGAAGTAAAGTATGGGTAAATTGGAAGCTTAGGTAAGGCAGGGGGAAGTTGTACTACCTATCCGCAGTTCAATAAGGTAGGGACATTTGGTGGAATTTAGTGATACGGCATGCCAGACGCTGAGTGTCATTCTCTTTACGGGTACCGTAGGTTTTCGACAATTGCCCCGCGTGGAGCGTTGAAATTCACATTGCCCGGATTGCGGTACGTACTTACTCATATCTGACTTGCCTGACTAAAAGGCAATAAAGGCATTGTGCGGCTGTGCCCTTGTTTCTTTTCCGTTGTCTGCCCAGTCGAGCTTGCATCTTCCCTCTCCTTCTTATCAAATTACTTTCGGTCAACGCAATGCAAAGAGGCGTTTGGACTCGCAGCATGAGGGACGCGCAGCGCGCTCGCCCATCGTCTGATGAATGGTTCACCAAGGCATATGACCTTCTCTTGCACGCACGACCACTGTTTCCGCCCTGGATTGAGGAACCATGACATCAGCCAGCTTTACCATGTATACCAGACACATACACACACCAGAGAACGCAACGAACGCCAGCGCAGCCAAGGCGGGAGAGAATCGGGCATCGCGCAAGCTATGTCGCCGGTGTCCTACAGTCGTCCGGTACCTGACAGACTGACAATGAGTGACCGGCTTACTCACACCACCAAGACGAATGGACAGACGTGTCGCATTGTTGGCGTCCATTTCCCCTCAAGCCACTCCTAGATAAGGTATGTTGTCCGGCCCCTGGCTTGCTGTACCTATCTCGATTGGGATATCTACATCACCTCCCGTCACCTGTCCAGCCTGACTTTACGGGGAGTTGCATTCCCCCAAAGGCACATGCCAACCTCACAGTGCCTCCCAAACCCAAACATCTCGGCTTCCTTCGACTCCCTCTCGACTGGTTGCATCTTTCCGTGCCTATGGTTGCATCACGAGTGTGATGTGTGTCCGGGGGAGCACCTCCGCCGTGGTCAGGCGGTCGCTACGGGCGCCGCGGGCCCCTCGCATTACCTTTAGGTCCTCGGCGGGGTGGGAGGGCAACGGCTTCAGTACCTAAAGTACCTTAAGGCTTAAGAGTTGGCCAGCTGTAGCGCGCATCCGTGCCATCCAATTCTCATGGTGCCAGGTTCCTTGGTGTTGCGCCTGCTTGCTTACCTTATCGCAGTTCTGCTATCAATGCCCACCCCATTAAGGAGATACATGAATTCCCACCTCATTTTATAGCCCGTGAATGTATTCCCCTATCCGAGCCAAGCGTGACTGAGGTTCAATCTCCGATTCATCCGTGCTGCCGCTGCCGGTGGGTGACCGTGCCATCCTTCCTGCAGCAACAGAACACCGTCGTCGGCCTGGATGTTTTGTACTCTTGTAACTTTCTTTCGTGTTTGCTTGTTGCTTGTTGCTCCCCCCCTGGTATCGCTTCAATTCTTTGCTTTTCTTGGGCCTACAGATTCACATTACCTTACTCCGTACACCAGCAAATTGAGCACCAAAGTTCGATTTCCCTTCCTGGACTTCAATCCTCCCTCGTCAACGACGGGCCTCGGGACGTGCTCTTAGCCTCCTCCTAACCCAACTCCCTCCAGCTAATCCTATTCCGCTTGCGCCTACACCCTTCTTCCCAAGTTCCTCCTACGGCTTGGTCCAACGGCGCAGCAATTCACACTTATTCTCATCTTCTCTTCTCTTTTCTCCTGCAACCCTTGGGAGCCTGTGACCACCCTATCAACAGCAACCGCCGTAGCGTCCGTCACCAACAAACTAGTCGACAACTGACTACAATGTCTCGTCGCGACCTCTGCTAGCACTGACCGGTTCCCTTTTGCATCTTCACCACCTTCGCTCGCCTACAACTCTGTCTCTCGCCCGACGTAAACGGCCTGTACCTCCAGCTTCTGCTCGTCTGTCGCTTATTTCACCCTTGCAAACTTCACGATGGCCACCCTCGCAGGGGAACACAACACGGCCCCGAACGGGACCGAGTCCATCTCCGAGTCCTCCCAATCCTACGGCAAGCCCGCTTCCAGAAACGGCCCACCAGAGACGATCAAGGTCGACGGCAACAAATCTTTGACTCTAACCTCGGAGAATCTCCTTCTGAATGGTGTGTTGGAACCTGCAATTTCCCCTACCTCGTGGCGATGCGCTCGGGTAGCTGACCCCCTTTCAAAGACCCATCAGCGAACAAAGCCAACCGGACTTGCGGTTTTGCTGGGTTTGGCGCATCAGGTCCGTTGTCATTGACCTCCGTGGCCCCCATTCCCAGCTTGCTAACACTAGTCCGCAATACACAGCACCCTCGACGCAAACCGTCCCCTTATACAACGTCCTTTGGGCCGAACAGACGGGAGAGGCCCTCACGATCGACTATGCGAAACAGGCCGGCAAGCAGCAAGTACAGGCCGCCAAATGGACGTTTACCCTCAACGACGTGGAGGGCTCGGATGTCAAGTCCTGGATCGATACCCTCATGAGAAAGGCATACGGCCCGGCAAAACTATGCAAGAGAGCCAAGGTCTTGGTTAACCCGCATGCTGGACCGGGAGGCGCGGAAAAGAAGTGGCGCGTAGACGTCGAGCCTCTGTTCAAGGCGGCGCGCATGCCCATGGACGTGGAGCACACCACCTACTCAGGCCAAGCTGTTGAGGTTGCGCGGGAAGTCGACGTGGATGCGTTTGACACAATCGTCACCTGCTCAGGCGACGGTCTGGCTCACGAGGTATTCAATGGTCTGGGCCAGCGGCCCGATGCGTCACAAGCACTGCAGAAAATTGCAGTCTCTCACATTCCCTGCGGCTCGGGTAACGCGATGAGCTGCAATCTCTACGACTCGTATCGACCATCAATCTGCGCTCTCGCCATCATCAAGGGAGTTGAGACACCAATGGACCTGGTCAGCATCACACAGGGCGACCGACGCACCCTCAGTTTCTTGAGTCAGGCCCTTGGCGTAGTGGCCGAGAGCGACCTAGCCACCGAGCACTTGCGGTGGATGGGCGGCGCGCGCTTCACCTGGGGCTTCCTGGTTAGGATATTCGAAAAGAAGTGCTACCCTTGCGATTTGGCTGTGAAGGTTGAGATCGAGGACAAAGCGGGCGTCAAGAAGCACTACAAGGAGTACACGCGCAGCGCATCGGTACCGCATTCGGGTGCCAGCGAGCCTCCGAGAACGGAGAGTGCTGATGCTGTTTCGAGTCCTTTCGGTGACCAGGAGGGACTGCCGCCTTTGAGATTCGGCACCGTCAACGATGCTCTGCCAGACGGATGGGAACTGATACCACATGACAAGATGGGCAACTTTTATTGCGGAAATGTAAGTATACTGCCTCACCTTTCTTGGTGTCTGACTGGACATGCCCGTCTCTTGGATGTCATCCCCCGAAGGAACTACATACTGACCACGCCAGATGGCATACATGGCCGCCGACGCCAACTTCTTCGCCGCTGCTCTCGCCAATGACGGTCTGATGGACCTTGTCTGCATCGACGGAGACATGTCAGTCGGCGCCCAACTGAGCATGCTCATGTCTGTAGAGAATGGAAAATTCTTTGACAACTCTTTGGTATCGTATCGCAAGATTTCCGCCTACAGGATCATTCCAAAGAACCAGAAAGACGGCTACATCAGTATCGACGGTGAAAAGGTGCCGTTTGAGCCCTTTCAGGCCGAGATTCACCACGGTCTGGGCAGGGTCATTTCGAAGCGCGGCAAGTACGAAGCTCCAGGTCCAGTGGGCTGGGAGAAGATGTCCCTATCCTAAGAGATCGAATCAGAGCTGTGAAGGGAAGAGGGACGAATTGGCGTCTGGCGAGAGCCGCATCATGCCCAGTGCAGCACCTGCTGGGATTGGGGTCGAGACGGCCAACCAAGATATTGTATGATGGTATTTGGGCCATAAGCGAAAGAAGCGCAAGCGGAGTAGGGAGCAGTGATTTGTTTCTTCAAAAGTCGAGATACCCAGATAGAACAAGACGGGAAGAGTACAGCCGTCGTCGGGCCAAGCTGGAAGCGAAGGCGGCCAGGTTGGCAAAAAGGACAGCCATTGGATATCACTGTATACTATAGAGTACAGCGTTGCACATAATACCTGATTTCTTTTTTGGTTCCCACAACCGCTTCCCACGAAACAGAAACCCATGGGGAATCTTTTCATCAAAAATGACATGCCTCCCTTCTTTTTTGAAAAGCCAATAAACGCCGTATTCACCATCCCATGCAAAGACACGAAGACTAGGGAAGTGTTTTGCCCCTTCTATTGATCGTCAATGCCGCCCCATTCGTCATCATCCCCTTCCGCCGCCTCTTCCTCATTGGTAGGCTTGTTCTCCGTCCACGGCAGCCTCTCGTCCTCAACCACGACCGCGGCCTTGGCTCGCACAGTCTTGACGGGCGACTTCTTAAGCGGCTCAACAAGCTGGCTTAGCTTCTTGGCAAACGCCACCGCCTTGGTGTCCTTCTCCTCGAGCATCTCCAACCGATCAAGCTCGTCAACCCAGATATCAAGCCCGTGAAGCCGCAGCCCGATAGGCACCTTTCTCAAGTCGCCCTCGAGCTCAAACGGCCACTCGCCGTACACCTTCAGCAGCGCCTCCACCCTCCCCTCTTGGTATTCGCCCTCTTTCACCCACTGCAATCCAGAGGTAAACGTGCGTCTGACGAGGAGGAGGAACTTCTCCATGCGGAGGACGTCGATATCCGTCCACTGCTTGGAGAGGATCTCCCAAAAGGCGGCGAGCCAGGTGGGCACGTCGTCATTGCGGAGGCAGGCTGTCAGGCCTGCGAGCTCGGAGGCGAGGTTTTGTTGCGGGATGGGGCGGTCGCACATCCACATCGCGTAGAAGAGGCCCTTCCAGAGCTTGAGGGCTTCGAGGTGGGAGAGGGCGCGGTGGGAGCCGAGGAAGGTTTGGAGGGAGGTTAGGGCTTGGGTTCGGAGTTTTCGGTCTGTGGGGAGTTAGAAAGAGGAGAGTTTAGCTGGAGTTATTCTGGAGGTTTGGGGGAGGTTTGCGACGGCAGAGTGGGTGGTGGTTTGCGATGCGACGGGTGGACGAACCGCTGGAGGCCAGGTTCCTGATGAACGGCATGTTCTGTTCTTGAGACGCCATCTTGGACGATTTTGTGTGGTGGTTGAGCGGGCGGAGGTAACTCAATTGAAGGTGTCGCGTGTTCTTGTACTTGCGACGGGCAGGACTGTCGTTCTATGCACCGTCGGCGATGGGGACTTGCAAAGCAGGGTGGGATGGTCCCGAGAATAAAATTGTTGTTCACCGAGAAAACTGCCCCGCCGATCCTCGGTGTGTAAGGGCCCCGGGGTAACTCGATCGGGTGACCGCCTTTGAGGAGGTGGGGCCAGTGATATGCAGGGGAAAAGCGTGGCGTGTGGCGTTGCTGGTCTGGATTGTTCGGTGGTGTGGCTGTGTATTTGACGATGTTGGAGCCCCAAAGAAGGTACGACCTACGTATTGATGCCATAAATAGATATTCAGAATTCAAGATGGTATGAGATGGTATATCACTGAAAATCAGGATCATTCCGAAAGTTTGAAATTCATTCCATCGCCAACCAGCACTGTAATTACATTACCAAAGCGAGCAGGTCCCACTCCAGGAGTCCAGAAACATCAGTCCAAGCCAGGTCCTCCAAGCCAAAACATGTTCAAACGCCTTATGCTCTCATATTTCCATCAGAGAACATCATCCAGGTCGCTTTGAAAGATCAAAGTACCCTTTACGTCATGCTGCGCTCTCGATCGTAGCCGATCGAAGGAGAGGGAGAGGGAACCCCTGAAGCTCTCACAATTCTGTCAACCTTCTCGCGAAGATCCTCCAACTGAGCAAGAAGCTCATTATTCTTAGCCACAGCCTCGTTCAACTGATTCTGCTGGTCGGCCACCTCCCGCGTCTTCTGGAAGAGTTGCGACTGCACAGTCACCAACTCGTGCTGCGACTGCTGAATGACGGCGTCCTTGCGCTCGCTCTCCTTTCGATAGTAATCAATGTGATTGTAGTAGTCCTGAGCCTGGGCGTAGCTCAGGTGCGCCATGTCGTAGGCTTGAGAGATATTGATGCGGAGCTCGTCGACTTCGTGCTTGTTGGCTAGGGCGATTTTGTTGGTGCGGATCTGGAAGTGGGCGAGCTCGGAGAGGGCTTCTTCGCGGGAGGTGACGAGGATTTCGATGAGATCTTTGCCTTCGAGTGTGCGCTCCTTGGCCTTCTTTTCGTCGTCGGCCATGAGTTGCTTGAGGAGCTCCTTGTGCTCTTCTCCGGTGTATTGGACGAACTGTGTGTATGTTTGCGCGTTGTCAGAGTTTGCGTTGGTAACTCGGATTGGTGGATGGGTTAGGTAGGTAGAGCGATCCTCTTGATGGGGAGATTTTGTCGGGGAACCACGGGAACTTGGAAAGAAACTGACCTTGAGGCCTTGGTAGGTTGAGTTATTATTTTCGGCCATTGTAGTGCTGGGAGTATCCATGGATTCCGGTGCCAGTGCGGCTCGGTCTGAGGAAGATCTGATAATAGCGCTCATCGACAGACGAAGAGTCGCAGACGTGCTCGGCCTTGACGGTAATCTTTTCGCCAGAAACAACTCTGGAGTGTAAGGTTATGATAATTACTCCTGTTAGTCGTACGGAGAGGTGACGTCGGAGATGAATGGCTAGGGGCGTGGTGCTGCTCTGAGGTTGCTGATATTTCAGATGACTACAAAGTGCTATAAAACTCTTGGTGTATTTGGAGGAAAGCGCAACTGCGAACAAAAGAGAAATGCTTCTCTGAGGAAAAGGCAAGATGCTGGAATCTGGACCGTATTCCAATTCGGAATATGCTCAGTTTCCAGTCTCCAGGACTGCTCTTGGCGGGAGGAGGGGAATCTACAGGGCTTACTTGTGAACGCGGCAGTCTGGTGAGCTCGGGATGAAACCAGTGAAGTTCTGTGGACAAACTCCAAGCATACCTTTGCAACAATACTTGAGTCTTTACGGTACTCCATTCCATAATCGAACCCCAAGAAACCCCTTAGGCACTGCCGTTTATCTAATTCAAGTAGCTGCTACCTTGGCGCAAGATGATGGACATTAAAAAGGGGCTCACTTCAGACTTAGCGTCCATCTCGATATTTCTTTTCGGATGATAGGGCCTTCTTTTGGAACCAGCGAAGGACAAATCGATTTGTTCGTATGAGAGTTCAACCAAGCACATGTCATCTCAGGGTCTTCTTTGGTTTTCAGAGAGTTGTAAAAAACTGTGAGTGAATTCACATTGACAGTCCATATTCTTTTCGCATTGATCTGTGTTCCTTCTCCGTTGTCAAGGCTTTTGACGACGTTTACGGATGACTGGTTTATTGGTACCCTTCTACCTGAGACCGCAGTTAGGGTTACTCCCGAATCCGCTCCAGACCCAGGTTAAGGTGGTTTTACACGTTTACGAAGGGCTATTGACCCCGACTATCTATATGAGCCAGGTACTCTGCCTCTAAGGTGAGGTGGAACCAGGGCCAGAAGGTGTGCCACCTTGGCTTTCTCGGCAGTAATTTCATCCTGGAGATCCTCAATCTCCCTCTCATAGCTTTCCTTACGACGCTCGGCGGAGGCCTTGTTGCGCTCGATGGAGGCACTGGCTAGCGTGATGGCATTCTGAGAACGCTTGTGGCAGCTATCTCGGAGTATAGCTAGCTCGCCGATGTGCTTATCGTTCAAGTCCTTAATGACTTGCTGATGCTCCTTCTTGAGCTGATTGAGGGTGATAGTGTGGTTGTCTTCGATGACAACGAAGTCGTCTTCGGAGTCAGACTTCTGTGGTCTCTGTTAGCACTGACCTGCACATATCGATGGCGATAGGGGTTGGCCTTACCACAGCCATGTTGCTGTTTTGGGACATTTCGGCTGAGCTGTTGCTTGCGCTTTGTGTAGTACCTAGGTACTCTGGCCTTTGTTAGATTGCTCAAATGAAAGAATGTGGGGAAAACCCACACACTGAACGTACCTGAAAGGAGAACTGCTTAAGAGACAGCGAAGGCGACTAGAGGAGTGCGGAATGATGTTGCGAAATTGAAGTTGCAGGATCAAGAGGCATATGCAGAAAGTCGCGATAGTGTGAGCGTAATAGGGAGGGAGTAATTTGGGAAGAAAGAGCCGGGGGGGGGGGGGACCCTTTATACCTGTTGAAAGGTGAAGTTGGTGATGGGGACATTCGGACAAGGGCCCGCCTCCAACGTTTTCCTAATAGGGAGACAGCAGTGAAAGAGGAAGGTAAGCTATTTCCCCAATTATTAGGAGTTTACAGTGAACAGTGTTGCATGTTGAGGCACCTAGGAACGAACGTGAATCACGTTCTTCGGAGCATTCAGGGGTACTTGTAGGTCCTTTGAGTGCCTGAATGCGCTCATTGTGGCCCATGGGAGACTTCTTGGATCGCTAACACAACGAAGGCTTAACCCGGGCTTGAAGAGGGAGCCAAGAGGTATGATGATGGCAATTGAAGAGATTAGTAGTGGTATCTGACAACATTACTGGTATGGACAAGCAAAGCCGATAGACCAGAATCCCCAAGCGTAATCATGGTATATATACACGAGTGCCAGCTAATCTTTACAATGGACCTGATCTCCGGAATTTTGATTTACGGTCATGTTTATGTATAGAAAATGATAGATTTGATATCACACTTGACAAACCCGCATTGGAATGGTAGGATATATTTAGCTGATAATCAAGGCTGCTGTGCGGTAGGCTCTTTTGTTACTTGAGTGTGGTGTAAATGAGCGATTGGTTGCGAAAGCTTTTCTTGTTCACTACGAGAACGTTTCATAATATGATTGTATGGCACTTTTGAGCCTCCTTAAGATTGCTTGAATTTGGCGTAAGCTTTGGGGACAGTTTTGCTCGAGGGAAACGGAAGTCTTTGTGTTTTCTGTCAAGTTTCCCCAATTACGTAAACCCCTTGATCACGTCAAATTGTTCATTGAACAGCTAACCCTGGAGAGAGTGACCATGAAACAAAAATCGCAAAGTTGAACGAAGCTGACAGCCATGCGTTGAGGACCCTTATCAAACTTTCGACATCGAGGTTGTAAAATTGACGCAGGAGGAAGGAAGGGGCGACCATCCAACCCTGTGGTGCCTGCCTTGCGAATAGGTAACCAACGCGATGTGAATTCCCTAGGTCTGGAAAGTATCACAACAACGCGCTTTGCCACGAGGCCGTTAGGTGATGAAACGGGAAAATCAAGATGTTGAGAGATGAAGTGCCTTTGACGAACACTCGCTACCCGCCAGGCTCAGTGACAGCAGCACCTCATGCTTTGGAGCCACACGATAAATTAGTTGGCACGAACAGGCTTCTTTCTGGCCACAGTACGATCGAATTTCCAGTGACTTGCCGTAACGCCACTTTTCGAAAGCAATATTGGGCCTTCCCCAAGCAGAATTGCCAGGTCAAAAGCAACCCCCCCCTCCTCCCCCCCCGAGCGTCAAGTGGTACATTCAGGAGATATGAAACACGAGGAAGAGATAGATTACATAGAGAAGGGTCAGCTGTTTGGTTCAGGTGCAATAAGCCTGCCGTCAATACTGCGAGCATCCAGACTTGAAAAGATGCCATTGCCCGTTGCCCAGGAAAAGGAGAGACCCTGTGATATGAGCAGAATCTTGGTCGAGACATCGCGAATGAACCAGGCACGAGCATGAGTGAGGTTATCTTATGGAGCGTCCATTGCTTCATGGTGGAGCATGCTTAAGCTCAAGATATATCATTTCTGGCTCCTTTGCCTCTGCCGTCCTACTCCTGAGGCACGCTAGACGAAGAACCAATACGAACGGAATACAGTCATTAGGGCTGAAAATGACTTGTCTGAGGGTTCACGTCTTCGAAAATGGAACCACGTATCATTATCGTACCTTGACCTGTCGTCACCGCGTAAAGGCAAATCTCAACTTCACACATCCAACTGCCCAATTGCGACTACCAGAGCAGATCTATCCACGAGGTCAGTGTCTGCATTTCATATCTCGTCATCCTCGGCCAGTCACGCTGTTTTCCATCATCCTGTATCCTTGGGTGGCGTACAATTCGTTGCTCCGAATAACGACCCATTTATCTCCTTAAATTCCCTTCGGGTCTGCTCCTTCTTCGACCGAAGTCAAAAGCCGCGTTTGTTTACTTCACCTATTCACTACACCTTCTCACACGCGTCTAGAGCAGCACCAGATGCCTCACCTTCACTCGTGAGGTATCAAGTCTACGCCCTGCGCCCATTTTCACCCCCATACCTTGGTCTGCGCGAGATTTCTCTTTTTTCCACTCACATCCTTACCACTCAACTTCTCCCCTTCTTCCATCCTTGGGGCCTTCTCCTTTTTTTCTTCTTCCTCTTCTTCGCCGTCACCACCACACTTTCTCATCGACAAAGCAGCTTCGTCCAACAAGAGACGACGGCTTCATCTCGCGAAACGCGCTGCTCAGAATATTCATCAAAGGTACGATATCCATCTTCTTCTTCTTCTACTCGTCTTTTCCTTCCCTTCGCAAATATCACTCCTTCATCCCCTTTCTCAGGACCTCGTCAATCTGAGCAGTTGGGACTGATCTTTTGGCTCCTTCCTCTTCAGCTCACGCGTCTCTTTCCCACCCCTCAATTTTCCCATTCCTCACGCGTCTTATTTTTCTCTCTCTCGAAAACCAAAATATTCAGACCGCCCTCACGTGAGGTTGGGTGGTCGGGCAGACGTGCTTGGTTGGGTTTTCCGTCTACCAAAGCTCACTTCCTCTTCCTCATTCTCTTCCTCCCACCTTTCCCTTCCTTTCTCTTCTTCTCACATCGAACACCACTGCCTTTCTGGCTACCCACTTCGCAAGGTCGACCTTCTTCCAGCTTTGCTTCCATTCAATCCTCTTTTCTCTTTCTCTGTCAATTCTCTCACTCGCCCTTTCTCCTCATTCCACTTCATCTCAGCCATCTCATTATCGGCTCATTCGCATCTCTCTCGCCCGAATTATCTGGTATTTCAGCGCAAGTTCTCATCCCAGCCGCGGTTTCTTTACCTGATCACTGACGAAAACCTTTACCAGATCTTCCTCGCGATGGCCTCCTCTCCTGCCTCCGAAATCGAAGTGCCCAGCACGAAGGGTTGGAACAGGAGCAACACCATGGTAAGCCCGCAATCTTTTCATTTGCGTCCCGGACTCGTCTTCTCTCGTGTCTCTTCCCACCTGCCCATCTTGCCGATTGGACCCTAAGCGGGCCGAGAATTCGTTCTTGGTGAGACGTCGGGAGCCCGGAACTGGAGAGGTGAATTGCCAGGGTGGCAGGGCCATATGGACAGGCCCGTCACCCTTTTGTGGGCAGTCGGGGCAAATCACCTCTTCATACCGGTTCTGCCTTCGGGCGGTATGGTCTCAACCACCTCAGATTTCCCTCGTGAGAGTCCTGGGATGGTCCAATCGGTTACTTGTCGCACCAATCCGTCCTGCTGGGCAAGCAGGGTAGCGGGCCTTGGAGGTACACCCTACTCTCTCGTTTCCGGGTGTGGCTGTGAAAGGTGCCCCCTTATAACTTCCACCTTCAGGTGGGTTCATGGAGCCAGTCCCAGCCATCTTTCAGGACTAGTCTCCCGACATCTGGATCTTTTTCCAGGTGACATTCTGGGTCCCCATCGATGCCTGGGTTCTCAGGAACGCTTCCTCACGGTTGCGTTCCTGAGCTAACCGCAACGTCCTTCCGTCAAAAGTTGGACCGCGTGGTAGCTAGGTGTCGCAAGCCAAAAGTGTTTCTCCATGGATGTTAAGAAGTACCGATCTTGGCGAGGTGCTGTGGTGGCGGCAGCAAAGATGCAGGATCTTAATGGCGTGGCACAACAGAGGATGACGAGTTGGGCTTACCAGTAAGGTTTTCCTTGCTGACTGGGTGAAGACACAGGACAACTCATTCGACGATTCCGAGAGCCAGGATGATATGGCAAACAATTCAGTAAGTTGGACCGCGACATCATCCTCAAATCAACTTATCTTTTTTGCTGACATCCATTCGACAGGTCGACTCTGACAATGGCAATGAGGTACGTCCACAATTCACATTGTGTCCCAGCCTCGTTTTTCTTTGCGTCTTGTGCTTCCTGTGAGCGCCCTGCCCTCCGAGTCCTAAGCAAATGGCGTATCGGGAGTCCGGCGATATCTCAAGCTCGAGGCATGTGTGGATGCCAGGACCATTTGGATCAGTCACCGACTCTACTTTGAGCCGGGGCATTGCCCTTCGAGTGGCGGATATCGAGTGCGGGACGTGGCGTCAACCTCTGGTCCGATGGACTGGGGGATGACTCGCGAGGGTTCGGTCTCGTCGTCGTCATACCCTAGTAGAGCAGCTCGAGATCATTCCCTACTCTCCCGTTTTGGGGGTGATTCTTGTGGGACGGCCCTGATGATACCTTCGGGTATCCCTGCGGAGAGCTTGGAAGAAGCCACGGGGTGGTCAGAAGATTTGGTCGCTCTTCCTACCATCAAGCCTGAAAGAAGAGGCGTCAATTCTGAGGCCACCGCGTGGCGTGGAAGCCTTGGAAACCACACCTGGCCGCGCCTGTGCCAATATCCAGGCCTGAAATGGGGATGGGGGCACCAATCAGATGGTTAGAACCAAACCGTCAGGAAAATCAGGATGCTCCGTGCGCTTAACGGGGACCTGCCTGGTATGGCGTCGATGATCAGGGTTCAGGAAGGCAGCAAGACGCAGACATTGAGAACTTCGAGTGTGGCGTACCAGCATAATATCTATTCTCCAGCTGACTGGGCGAAGACACACACACAGGATGATCCTCTTTCGGCCAAGGGCAAGGACTCCGTCTCTCAGAGCCATCAGAAACTGTCTCCTCCCTGGAACCCATCTCTATGCCAAGCTTCTAACATTCGAGTACAAGCATCCCGAAGTCAATAATACGAGCTACAACCAGACGGAGTCTGGTATCTTGGCCGATAAGTTCACGGCCCTGCTGATGCTAGAGTCACGCGTCGCGCAGATGGAGGAAACTTGCAATCAGCTCAAGAAGGACATGACCCAATTCCAGCGCAAAGAAGATACCGTACACTATCACAGTATAGCGATGGGCCGAGTGAGTTCAGTCGAAGCACGCCAAATGAGAATTGAGAGAAACTTCGAGCGCATAGACGAAGGCCGACAGCAGATGGAGGCCACCCAACAGCAAATGCAGGTCACTCAGGCCGCTCAAGACCAGCGCATCCAATACCTCATTGCCTGTGAGGACGCTCGCGACGCCTCTAAGCACGGCAGTAATGCCTCTGAGGACGAACACTACCAGCGACACAAGGAGCTTCAAGACAGATGCGACGAGCTGACGATGAAGAATATGCGATATGATGAGATGTTCATTTCTCAGGCAACCCGCAATCATAGAATGGATGCCTTGGGACAGAATTTGGCTTTTTGTACTGCTATCATCGTTGTTGTCATTGCCATTGTGGGCTATGCCGTTTTCTCGTCTTGGGATTGAAAGGCAACATGGGCTGGGGAGTTGAGGAGTTGTACAGCAACTGAGAGATTGATTTGGGCGAGGTTGAATGGAAAAGGCATGACATGTCAGTCTTTTCTTCGAGAAAAACAATGCAAGCATAGATGGGATGCCCAAAAACAATAGAAACAGCCTCTCTCCACAAGTTTCATAATCCCATATTCGTTCGGCTTATTTTGCAATCGATGAGTGTCTCCTCTCAAAGAGCTAGCAAGAGCCAGGAGTTAGTCACCCCCCAGAATCTGTGAGAATGTGCGAGGGAGCGACAATCGAGAATTGCGTGGCGGGGCCAAAACTTTTTCTGTGTAAATGTCGAGATCAATTGAAGAAATAGGTATCTGGTAAGCTGCAATATTTATGTTACTCATGAATCATACTCCTGCCATTCCTGGGTGGCCAAACTACTATCAAGCCTGTTTCAGGGGAACGGTACTTCGAAGCTCCAACTCGTCCAAGGCTCAGCCCTTCTTCTCACTCGAAATGTCCGCTCCAGAGCCATCATCACGATCCCAAATTGCAGTCTCCATGGTGGGGTACACTAGGTCCGCGTCCTCCTCTCGCCACTCCTCCAGATCGACCAAGTGCCAGTTGGCCCTTACGAATCGGCTCCGAACCTTGTCTGACATGCCAACCATTCGAATCTGCACACCCTTGCCGGAATGCAGCTTGATCTCGTCCTTGAGCTCCTTCAACGTCATGATGCCTGAAGTATCGATAAATGGCACCATGGTGAAATCCCATACAACAACAGCAAGTGGCGTCTCCTTGAGACGGATCTGCTTTTGCGCTCTCAGCCTCTCCAAGCGCTTCTCTGCTGCTACGCTCCAGTGTCGTTCTCTGTCATCCTGGCTTAGACTGCTCTCGACGCGCGGGTACACGAGCTTGATGGCCGTGAGCGTCGATGTCTTCGCGCGCTCAGCGTTGGGGAAGAAGATTGCGTCATTGAAGTCGACGACGATGGCGTCACCCGGGATGGAAATGCGCGCGTTCTCCATGCGCTCGTCTGTGACTTGGCGACCGCCGCCGCTGGTGATGCGGGTGATGGGCTGCGGGATGGAGGTGGCTGTTTCTGCACTGCTGGAGTGGATTTCGGGCTTGACGAAGGTGGAGCGGAGGAGAGTCCAGACGATGCTCCATGCGACCTTGATTTCAAAGTTAGTCATGGCTGAAAGGGGGGGGGGGGGGGAGGGGCGGGTTGCTTTTAGACAAGGGGACTTACAGCAACACCGATGCCAATCTCGGCTGAGACAAAGATGGTGACCCAGAAAGAGACCATCGAGGCAACAAAGTCGGGGAAGGAGATGCGCCAGAACTTGTAGAACAAAGACAAAGGACCGAAGAGATGGACAACTGCCATGATCTATTTCCGGTCAGTGGATGTTTGTTCAATTCTCCTCAGAGCGAGCAAGACACTTACAATAATGGCTGACAAAGTTGCAGAAGGAAGCCAGTAGAGGGCTGGGGACAAAACATAAAGCGTCAAGAGAATAAAGGCAGCAGTGACTGCACCGGTCAGAGGACTCTTAACACCACACTCGGAAGCAACAGCAGTTCGAGACATGGCACCACCGACGGGCATGGTGCTGAAGAAACTGTTGACAATATTGACGACACCCAAGTAGTTGAACTCCTGGCTCTGGTCGATCTGGTAGTTGTTCTTCCTGCCGAAAGCTTTGCCGACAGCCAAGTGCTCGAGAGTGCTGGCAACAAGGGGGGCAACGGCCCTGGTAGCGACCTTCTGGACCAAGTTCGAGGCGGGTACGATAGGTTGGGTGATGCCGTGGGTGCTGACTTGGCTGACCTTCCAAGCGTAGTCTGACTTCTCGCGGTTGCGGTTGACGAGGTAGCTGATGAGAGTAAAGACGACCAAAACAATAACGGCTCTGGAGTTGGCGAGGAGCTTGATGGCAAAGTGTCTCTTGCCGTATTTCTTGCCCACCTTCTCAAGAATGACGAGAATGAGTAGCGTTCCGAAGCCGATTCCGCACGTCGCCCCGTCCCACTTTGGCAGACGACGAAGGACATCACCGATGACGTTGAAGACACCGGATGGCACGTTTGTCAAGCCGACGAGGGATCCAACTTGGCCAAAGGCGATAACGAGGGCTGCGGCTGAAATGAAACCTGTGAGGACTGGGAAGGAGACGTAGTCTAGGAGGAATCCGAGGCCGAAGAGACCGATGACGAGTGAGTAGACTCCGACCATGAGAGCCACGGATGAGGCGATTGCTGAGATGTCGAATCCTTCCTCGCTGAGATCACGGACGATTTCAGCTGTCAGGAGGCCCAAGATGGAAGTCGGTCCGGTTGAAAGATCTATACATCAAGCCAAAAGTCAGAAACAAAGAATCACTTGAAAAAGTCAACTCAGATGTGCAAACAAACCTTTTGAGGTTCCCATGAAGACTGCAAACGCAGCTGGCAGCCAACTTGAGTACAGGCCGTTGGCGATGGGAATGGTTGCAATTTTTGCGTAAGCCAGGGATTGCGGGATGAGCATGACACCCACGGTCAGACCGGCAATGAAGTCGGTGATGAGCCATTTCGGGTTGTATCGAGGAAGCCACTGGACGATGGGGACCTTATCGAGAAGGTAGACTCCCGCGGCTGATGGAAGTTTTGGGGCCCCCTGAACGACAAAGTCGCGAGCTCGTGCGATACTGGCATCTGTCGCGAACTCGTCCTTCACCTTTTCGACCTTTCTGGTGATCTTCTCCATTTTGACAGCAGAAAGGGACCCAAAGTGCCGTTGTTTAAGAAAATATGAGAAAGGGAAAGTGAGGAAAGAGAAGTGTCCGGGGCCGTCGGTGGCTGATGTGATGGGAACAGACAAATTGGTTTCAGAGCAGTTGGGATGATTATATCTGTTCAAGAAAGACTCAAGTCATTGCCTTCATCCGGTCTCAACTATTCGATATTTGACTTGATCCTAGAGATAACAACTCAGTTCAGTCAGACCCCTCCCCCTCCCGCCACGCTGATGGAGGTGTTCTATATGCTTGCTGCATCGCATCTGATCCGCGCATTGCAGCTTGCCCTCTTGCGCAAGTCGCCCGTCCCCCAGTACAACACAGCAACCACATGGGATAGCGACCCGAACCTTGTAGGCGGATAACTATACCATCCAATACGTGTAGAGAAAAGTCAAGAAGGGCAAGAGGAGAAAGAGGGGGAGGCGTGAGCCAAGAAAACACCACCGCAGCAGCATCATGGTCTCCTGCGTGTGTACAGAACTTGGCCCAATCTAGGCAAGGAACTGCCGTACCCTCCTTCGGACGACACTCGGTATCCCCTCACATGCCGATGACACCGGATCTAATGCAGTTTGATCACTGTTCAGCCCATGGAAGGTGTCGAGAGCCTCAGATTGGTGGGAGTTTGGGTAGGCCTGCGTTACGTCGAGCGAGGCCAGCCAGCCCCCTCGCGCGGAGTCGCGCCGCGATGAACGCCAAATAGCTTGGGGACAAGGAAGACATTAGACCAGAACTCCAACTTTTCTCCAATAAAGGAACATGATAAGCTACACGTACAAGCAAGACTTCAGGTCTGGTCCCTGGAAACTAGTCGGGTGCAGACGTCCATCCAACTCAAAGTGAAACTGACTGGTACCCATCCCGCGTGGGATAGCAGGAAAAGGACTTGTGAATAGTACCTAGCGTGGCGTGGCAAAGAAACGGTACGTTGATCACATGTGCACCAGGGTTGGGGGATCAAAGTCAATGGCTACTGGACGGGACGAGAATAGGATCAGTTGAATATTTGGAGTAAGAGAGACAACCACATATTTAGCACACACTACCTTAATGTGTGAAGTTACTTAGTAAAGTACGAACGCAGCTGGGCACGGAGGCTAGATTTGGAGTCACGTCAGCTGAGATGAACGGTCCGCGCCCTCTCATTCGTCATTTCACAAGACGGGGAAACCATGAGCATCGCATCTTTGATTTAATGCTCTTATTCATTGCGGTTTTGTTTGTTTTTGACTTTGCACTCATTAGACTTTGTATTAGACTTGATATCTCGTCACTTGGCATCTGAGAGCCGCAATGCTAAGTCCACTGCCAAGTGCCGGTGTCTCTTGGCCTCCTCGTGGCTATTGACGACTTACCAAAGCACGATTGAGTCTTGGCAGGTTGCACATCGAATCTTGTGAGACAGCGAGGGCGTTGAAAAGGACGGACGATCGCCACCGGCAGACAAAACGGGCCGACCTAATGGGCAGTCAAGGCAGAATTTCTGTGTGTGTGTGTGTGTGTGTGTGTGTGTGTGTGTGTGTGTACGTGCGTATTGTACGTATGTGAGTGATGACTGAGCGGGTAAATGGGTGAGCGAAAGTGAGTGAGAGAGAGAGGTGTGTGTATGATGACTGTGTGATGCCACGGCTAGCACTGCGGTAGTCGAAAAAGCGTCAAGCCAAGAAATAGGCAAGTCCCAATGCCTCTTAGCGAACACCGACACTTGGTACCTAAAGCACGTTCTTGGGGGTTGCATGCATTGGCAGTCTACACGGGAAGCTTGGCGGCAAAGACATATCGAATTTCCTCATCCGGATTGGTGACTTGAGATAACAGGCTCTCCCATCCAAGACATAGAACACTTGGCTTTCTCTGATCCTCTCTCTGGCGCACGCAGCGCATGCGTGGGACCTTTTCGGTCTCAGCTTCTAGTGCAGGACTGGAGTTGACCAAAAGTGAAGGGTCGCAATGGAATGAATGTATGTGGTACCCATATTCCCATATCAAGGTGACGACGACGACGCAATACAGAGCCCCATTTCTTTGGCATGCGAGATACCGCTGGCTTAGTCGTGCAACCCGAAAGTGGGAAGTGTGTTTGATTGTCTCTCTCTCTCGCGGCCCTATCGTTCCGTCAGGTCTCTATCTATCTTTGCTCTCTCTCACACTTCTCTCTCTCTCGACCTGCCTGTAAATATCAGACGTACGTTAGTTTTGACGCAAGACCGGAATTCCCGCGCGAGAGCC